TTCCAAAGGCCTGCATCTTTTCAGTTCTGATATATGCAGAATGCACCCAGGAAGACAGTACTGGTGTGTGAGTTCCTTCTCCACATTCAGGACAATTTTACTGAACTTCAAACATTTGACTTGGTATTTATGTATATTTAAAATCATGTACTAGTTTTTTCTTTTTTTTTTTTTTGGTTTTTCGAAACAGGGTTTCTCTGTGGTTTTGGAGCTTCTTTTTTTTTTTAATATTTATTATGTATACAATATTCTGTCTGTGTGTATGTCTACAGGCCAGAAGAGGGCGCCAGACCTCATTACAGATGGTTGTGAGCCACCATGTGGTTGCTGGGAATTGAACTCAGGACCTTTGGAAGGGCAGGCAATGCTCTTCACCGCTGAGCCATCTCTCCAGCCCTAGTTTTTCCTCTTACATGATTTTTCATGTGATTTTTTGCAAGATGCTTTGTTCTTTAAAGAGTAGTAATCAGGGCAAGGTTGTCCTCTGCTTCCTTGTCTAAACGTGTGGACACAGGCCAGCAATATGGCTTCGTAGATGAAGTCACCGCCACCAAATCTGACTTAGAGGGCACCCACAGTGTGGGAGGAAAGAACTGACTCTCCACGGTTGTCCTCCGATCCCCATGTGTGACCTGTGGCACACGTGGGCATGCAACATACACAAAATAAGAAACGCAGCAAACGGGGGCTGCAGAGAGATGGCTCAGCGCAAGAGCACTGGCTGCTCTTCCAGAGGTCCTGGGTTCAGTTCCCAGCAACCACAGGGCAGCTCACAATCCGGTGCCCTCTTCTGATCTGCAGGCATACATGCAGGCAAGCACCTGTATACATAAAAAAAAATCTTTAAAAAAATGTAATAAATGATTAAACTGGACCTGATGGACATGCACGAACAAAGTCCAGAGGTTCAGGGCAGTTCCCTGATTACAGCCATCCCAAAGAGTGTAATATAAGGGCTTGAAGTGATACAGGAGTACTAGTGACAGCCGTTTGGGGGTGCAGTCCACCTTGGCGGGGGGGGGGGGCATGGCAGCAGGAGCTTGAAGCAGTTGTTTCGTGACATCTGCTGGCAGGAAGCTGAGAAAGATGAATGTTGGGGCTAGGTTCACTTCCTCCTTTCTGCTCACTTCGGGACCCCAGCCCGTGGCAGGGTGACACCCACAATTGGTGTGGATCTTAGTTAATCTAGATGATGTGTCACAGGTGTGCCCAGAAGCTGGTCTCTTCTCGGGATGATTCCAGGTCCTGTGGTAATATCAGCCATCACAACAGGTGCCTCAGCGTGCGGCCAGGCTTACAGTCCAGGATTACTTGAAATTTTATCCAGTTATTGTGTGTGAGTTTGCACATGCATGCATAACGTGTGGGTGTGGTCAGTGGACGACTTGGCGGAGTTGGTTTTCTCCTACCTGTTCAGGTACTGAACTCATCATCAGGTTGGCAGAGCAAGCTCTTTGTTGCTGAGCCAACCGTCTTGCTTGCCCACAGCCGGCCCACAGCCGCCCGCCCACAGCCCAGTAGTATTTCTAAAGGTGGAATCTGGGACGTGCCTATCACTCTGACCTTATGTAGAAGGGAACATATGCCATGTCAATCAACCTGTCTGGAAATTCTTAATTCACCTCTCATCTATCAAAAGCCGGGGTAATGTCTCGCCAGTGTTTATGCCCAGCTGCATGTGGTTGAAACCCGTCTTGATACCGGTGCAAAGTCAGGCAGCCTCGCTGTTGATTGGAAATTCCTGTGTGACTTACAGATCGAGCCCTCAGGGCCTGGGAGCCTTTTGTAAACGGATTCCCGCAAGCCTCTTGACTCCTGCTCTCACTCACTCAGCTCCTACCTTGAGAGAGCGTCTCTTAGTCCCTTGACCTTGCCGGGCACTTCCAGATCTGGCCCTTCACACGCTCATTTTTCTGTTCTCTCTGCTGATACTGATGACCCCTACAGTAACTGAGTGGGCTAGGTGTTCCCATGGCGCTGTGGCCGTGTTTCCGTCTTTCCATTGCCAGTTAAAGATGTGTGCACGCATAGCCTGCCTTCCTTCCTTCCTTTTTTCTTTTCTTTTCTTTTCTTTCCTTTTCTTTCTTTCTTTCTTTCTTTCTTTCTTTCTTTCTTTCTTTCTTTCTTTCTTTCTTCCTTTCTTTCCTTCTTTCTGTTTTCTCTTTCCTTCCTTTCTCCTTCCTTCCTTTCTCTTTCTTTCCTTCCTTCCTTCCTTCCTTCTTTTTTCTTCCCTCCCCCTCCCTTCCTCCCTTCCTTTCTAAGGCAGGGTGTTACATCTCTCAAGATGGCCTCAGACTCAAACTTCCTCTCCTCCAGCTCCTCTGCTGCTGGGATTGCAGTTGAATGCTCAGCATGGGTTCATGCAGTGCTGGGAGTGGAATCCAGGGTCTGTGCGTGGTCAGCAGGTGCCCTGTCAGCTGACTGACATCTTTAGCCTCTGTATGCAGAGTATTTTTTAAATAGGTTATTTAAAAATATGTCTAGGTATGGGTGTGTTTCTGTGTGCTGGTATATGTGCCTATGGAGAGGGTATTGGGTTCTCTGGAGCTGTGTGTGTGTTATATGTATGTATGTATGTATTTAAATTTCATGTTTAGGAGGTAGTACCCTTCAGAAAGTCAAGGACTGCGAATGTGCCCTGTGGAGGCGTGGCTCAGTGTTAGGGTGCTTACAGAAGGTATGCAAGGCCCTCAGTTTTTCCCCCAGCACGAGAGGAAAACAAAACAAAACAAAACGCCTACCGAACAACACTAGGAAACGGAAATGCCCAGCAGCGGAGGATAGTTCATGTGTCCTGAACTCTCCTGGATGACTGAGAAGGGGTTCTTAGGTTTAGGGGCCTTGTTTATTTATTTTCTCTCTGTTTTGAGATGGAGTCTAAGAGCATAGCCCAGGTTGGCTCTGGCCAGATTGGCTTCTGCTAGCCCAGGCTGGCTTCGGTCCGATCTGCTCCTGCCTCTTTTACATGGACTTCTGTGTCCATAGGCTTCATGACCAGTCACGTATCCTCAGCACTAATGTGAGTGTCACCTGTGGGGCACATTGACACATCTCAGGCGTCTGGGATAGGCACTCGGTAAACAGCCACGATAATCACAGGGCAAGGCTTTTTATCAGGTATGCCTTAGCTATATGCATGACAACTCAGTTTTTTTAAAAATTGCTTTGGGTGTGCACATGTGTATACACATGCCATGATGCACATGTAGAGGCCAGAGGGCAGCTTGCAGGAGTGGGGTTGTCTTTCATCATGTGGGCTCCAGGGTTTGAAGCCCTGTTATCAGGTTTGGCAGCAAGCACCTTTTACCCACTCAGCCATCTTGCCAGCCCATAAACCTGTTACACAAGCCTTTTAAAGCCCAGGAGAGTTTACTATATGCTGGAAAGGAGGACACTGGCTCTTTGCCCCATCCTTATGTTTCTTTTATACCTGGATTGTTGATTTTGGTTTTTCTGAGGCAGGGTTTCTCTGTGTAACCTGTTAAGCCTTGGCTGTCCTGGAACTCAGAGATCTGCCTGCCTCTGCCTCCTGAATGCTGGGATTAAAAACGTGCACCACCGTGCCAGGCTCCTCCAACATCAGTGTGCTGACCATAAACACTATGGTCAACTTGGCGGCTGTTACTATGGCTTCAAGGAGGAGATAATTAGTGACTATTTGTAATTTTACACTTGTCACAGTGAGACTGACAGATTACAGATGTTCTTCATTACTCACTCTCTTTTAGGATCCAAGAATGCTCCTCAGGTCCTCATTCAAAAGAGCAGTGTTGGCAGGAGCTGGGGCAGAGGCTGGGGCAGGGGCAGGTGCTGGGACAGGAGCTAGGGCAGGAGCTGGGGCAGGAGCTAGGGCAGGAGATGGGGCTGGAGATGGGGCTGGGACAGGAGCTGTGACAGGGGCAGGAGCTGGGGCAGAAGCTGGGACAGGAGCTGGGGCAGAAGCTGGGGCAGGGGTTGGGACAGGGGCAGGGACAGGAGCTGAGGCAGGGGCAGGGGCAGGAGCTGGGGCAGGTGCTGGGACAGGAGCTGGGGCAGGAGCTGGGACAGGAGCTGGGACAGGTGCTGGGGCAGGTGCTGGGACAGGTGCTGGGACAGGTGCTGGGACAGGAGCTGGGGCAGGTGCTGGGGCTGGGGCAGGAGCTGGGGCTGGGACAGGGGCTGGGGCAGGGGCTGGAGAAGGGGCTGGGACAGGAGCTGGGGCAGGCTCCAGTGCTCTAGTGCTGACCTAGTGCACTAGGAGGCTGAACTTAGTCCCCAGCCCTGAAGGACTGAAAACCGCTTGTGACCTCAGCTTGGCTAAGCAGCCCAACTTTCAGCTCATTAGGAAAATACAAAACAGGGCTGGGTGTGACGACAGAGGCCTATAATCTCAGCACTCTGGGGAGGTCGTGGGGCAGAGGCAGAAGGATCTCTGTGAGTTCGAGGCCAATCCAGTTTACGTGGTGAGTTCCAGAAAAACACCAAAATGGGAAAACCAAAAACAAACAACAACAAAAAACAGAAACAATAATAACAGGAAAGCAAAATCCCATTTCGACATGCAAGGCTTGCAGGGCTAAGGCGACACGGGGAGACTACTGGAAGTCTCCTTTTTACTACACAGTTACTCTAGTCAAAGGAGACCGGAAGGGAGAGTCTGCGCTACAGTAGGACAGTGTCCAGGGGGAGTGCTCCCATGCCTCCTCCACGCTTGCTCTTCTTTGTCCAGTCCTCTTGCCTGCGATCCCATGTGGCTTGTACTCCTATGGCTAGGGACCCAGTGAGCATGTGAAACACCGCACCTCCATCTCAGTCCAGAAGACACTGAAATTTCGACTTCCCCTCAGCATCCTTCTGGGAGGAAGCCCTGGAGCACCGTTCCAGGACTCAGCCCTAGAGTCATCCCCAGAGACACCTAGAATGGAAATCCTGCTACAAGAACACAGCCAGGCAATGTGACGAACACTTTTATTTACAAATATAAGTAAAAGCCCTGACAGTTAACCATGCTCTCCCTTGGAACCTGAAAAATGTTTAAGTGGTTTTTTTTTTTTTTTAAGGTGCATGCAAAAGGAGTAAAGCCTTTTTTTCTTCATCATTTTTTATTGTAAGAAAATACACAGTTTGAAAGGATGGATAATGCAATATTTATGACCAAAGATAGGGGGCGCGGGAAGGGGAAGGAGAAATAAACGGAGATGATCCGACTGAAAAGACATTGAACTCCAGAGACTGAACTGGAAACCGCGGGGAGGTGGGCGTGGGTTGGGGGAGGAACAGGAGGAGGAAGTAAAAAAATTTTGATCAGAGAAACAGTTAAAATACAATATGAAAATAAGCAATTCCTCTCCTTAGATTCCCTCTATACACAAAATACATGATTTGCCAAAGCCCAATTTTGTGCTACTGGGATTCTGTGAGTTCCGTACGTGTATTCGCACCATCTGCAACAGCAGAGGATGCCGGGATACAGTAGACCAGGCTGACGGCAAGGCAAACGCTCGCCGGCAGGTTCTTAAAAATCACAAGCTCTCTTCACCCCGCCCACCCACCCCGGCCCCAAAATAGTAATAATATGTTACCACTTCATATGTACATCACAATTAGTTCCTGTAAAATGTATCAAATTTTCAATCTTTAATAAAACTTTGTTTTTTTTTTAATTCCTGATGAATAAATACCAAAAAAATAAAATAAAATAAAATTATGCAGCAGCTGGTTAAGGTGTAAGGCTGCGGATTTTGTGTCTCTCTCCCCCTTGGCATGTAGTATTTATTTAGTTTTCTTTCTTTAGTTTTTCTTTTTTTTTTGCTTTACTTTCACTGGTTGGTGACAATGAGGGATTGCTTAGAGCAATATACATCTGTGTTCCATCGCCGTTTGTTGATTGACCCTAAAGCCACTTGCAAGGTTTTCACCAGAACCTTTGTGGGCCACACCGGCACTGGGTGTGGGGGTGGACAGTAGGGGCGGCCGGGCCGGCCAGCACTGACAGTTGATATGGGGGAGGAAAGGGCCCCTGATGGAGTAAGAGTAAACAGGCACTAGTCCGACACGATGTCAGGAAGAGAGAGAGAAAGAGAGAGAGGGAGAGAGAAAGAGAGAGAGTGTGAAGTGAGAGCAACGCCCGTTAAAATGGGGAATGTAGTTTTGTAAGGTCTGAATTTTTTTGTTTTGTTTTTTTCATTTTTTTTTTGTAAATGGCAAAAAAATTTAATCTCATCTATAGTCCTCCTTAGGAAAATCTAATGTCACCAAATTCCCAAATCCCATTCTGAGGCTCTCCATGTCAAAAGTCTCCGTCTCTCGCTCTTGTCTTTCCAGGAGAATCTTGATCCTCTCACTGCGTTCCTTCTGCAGGGCGGCCAGCTCCTCTTCAATCTGCACCCAGCACAGAAGAGGGGCTCAGTGCCAATGCTTGCTCCACAGCCACGAGGGACCCCCACCAGGTGTGCAAGCACACACACACACACACACACACACACACACACACACACACGGGAGTGGGGAACAGCCTAGACCTGAGAGCCAGGAGCCCAGTGTCTTGGATTTGTCCCACTATATGTCTCACACCTGCTAGGGCTGGGAGTTGGGGTACGGATGGGTGTGGGTGGGTGGGGCTGGGGATGGAGGTGGTGCTGCTATCTGAGCCTGGGCGTCCTCCCTGTGACTTTGCAGTGGCCGGACGGGGCCTCCTGCATCCTAGGAATTTGATTGTGGAACAGTGGCCAGGAGAGCAGGCTACAGTGTTGCTGGGGGGACAGAGAAAGCGGGGGTAACAGGTTGAGCAGAGAGAGGTCACCAGCTTGAGATGCTGTGTCCCCCGTGCTCTCACAGCAAGCTCTTTCCTGCTGAGCCATCTCCTCAGGCCCTGAGATGCTTTGCGTGCTTGTGCGCATGTGCATCCTTGTACATGTTCCGCGGAAGCCAGGAGACAACGTCTGGTGTCACTCCTCTCAGCCCCAGGCTTGAGATGCTTCATGACACAGTCTCCGTGTGACTCTCCTTATAACACTGTCTACAGCATGCCGTAATTCAAGGGGGTAACATTTACTCTATGTGGCAATAGCAACCTATCTTTGTTTCCACTCTTTTTGAAAAAATTATTTTTATTTAATTATTTATGTCTATGTGAGTCTGTGTTTAAGTATTTTTTGTTTGTTTGTTTGTTTGAGACAGGGTTTCTCTATAGCTTTAGAGTCTGTCCTGGAACTAGCTCTTGTAGTTCCAGGTTGGCCTCGAACTCACAGAGATCCGCCTGCCTCTGCCTCCCAAGTGCTGGGATTAAGGGCGTGCGCCACCACCGACCAGCTTGTGTTAGGTATATACATATGAATGTAGTGTCTGTGGAGGCCAGAAGAGGGTGTTAAATACTCTGAAGCTGGAGTCACAGAAGGTTGTGAGCTGCCATGTGGGTTCTGGGACCTGAACCCTGATCCTCTGGAAGAGCAGCAAGTGCTCTTCTGAGCCATCTCTCCAGCACCTCACTTTATTTCTTAAAGAATCCTGTGGGTAATTCCTTTTACTGAAAAAAATTCCAATCTTATATGATTTTTTTTTTAATGCCCTTGGGCAGCCGTGTTAGCATCCCATAGTTCTTAAGTAAGTGATGTCACCTAGCTGGTTAAGATGGCGGGCTTCCTAAGCAGAACCTCAGATGGCTGGATAACCTTCCCAAACCATCATGTCCCAGGCCTGGAGGTAATATCTGCCTCTCTTGGGTACCAGGGGTAAACTGACAGTCTGATCCCGGGTCACTAGGAGGGATCCACACAAAACTGTGACCCTTCCCCACCGCAGCCCCACCCGTAGCTCCCCAGAAACTCCCTACCTTCTGCTCAAGATGCGCTCTGCGCAGAGACACCCTCTGCTCTAGCTTCTGCAGCTCCCGCTCGTGCTGGGCCTCCGTCTGCATCTTGATTTTGCTCTGGTAGGCATTGAGCAGCTCCATCTCCTGCTGGAGCTGTAGTCTCAGGGCCTGGCACTCTGCCTCTTGCGCCTCATCTAGCCGTAACTATGGATACAGAAGACACACACTGAATATGTCTATATGCACACAGCAGTCCGCGCGCACCACTCGGGACAATTGAAAAGGGTTTCCTTGCTCTGACTTAGGTGGAAGGACAGAAACTCGATGGATACTGCAATTTGGACCACAGCCAGTGGAGTCTGCCCGGGTGGCCACAGGATCCTAAGGACACCCTTCCTTCAGTGCAGGCCCCAGAGCCCAGGAAGGCTGCCCACTCTAGAGGCTAAGTCTGTGCACTCTGGAGGTAAACTGCTGACCCTGAAGCCTGGCTCTTTCACTCCAGGGTGGCATTTTGTCAATAATTATTCAGCCTCCTTTGGTCTCATTTCTTTTTCTTTTTTTTCAAGGAAACGATAATTCCCATTAAGATTGGCATAAACTTCAAATGAAAGAATTCATATAGAATCCCAATCCTAAGACCCCACAAATACTACAATGTCCAATAAACAGCAGCTATTACGATTTTTTGGTTTTGACAAGACTGTGTTCATATTTAAACACCTTTAACTATAAAATCATGACCCATTTAGTGCTATAGAAGTGAATTCAACAATAATTCATACAGCGTGAAGACCATGCCATTGTAGCTGTTACAGCAAACAAACCACGTTGGCCAGGCTGTGGCTACACATGGCATCTTTGTCACTGCCAACCCAGAACCCCATGGGTTCAAAAATCTCATTCCTTGAGAGCAGCTCATAATCTCTGGAGATGTAGACTCTGCATCCTGGCCCAGTTCCCTCTGATCCCAGCTGTGCGCCTCAACTTTACAGTTTGTACCCAGACGGCTAGATCTTATGTGCAGATGGGCCAAGTCCACCTGCTTCTAGAAGAACAAGGGCCTGAGGTCAAACAGCTCCTGTGTCAGACCATGAGCATGGCACAGGCCAGTCCTCTGTCCTAGGCCTGGGTATGTCCCCACCCCTGAGTCTCTGCACCCCTCTCCATACAGGCGATTTCCCCAGCAGCATTCCACCCGATCTGTGCCTGTGACAGCTGACAGTGTATCCCTGTCTGCAGCAGGAAGTGACTTTGGAAATGTTCAAACTACTTGCGGACTGCCATCCTTAGTCCTTCTGTGGGAAACATGCCATGGAGTTAAGGGAAAGTGTGCTTTCTGAGTCACACCCTAAGCAGTCAATGTTAGACTCTGCTAGCGAGGACGGGCCGTTTTCTTCCCATTTCCACTGGGGGCATAGGCAGGGCTGTGCACACACATCGTCAGCCCACAGTCAGAATAGTTTACAGGTGGTGTTGAAATGTCCTGTGGCTCCCCGTGAGGACTGCTACGGATGTTCTCCTGATCCGAGAGGTTCCTGACCATAAAAGAAAATGACAGCCCACTCATCTCCTATGTTCACACATTAGCTGCCATGAGCCCTGAATGAGCAGCCGAGACTTCAGACTGCCAGTGGGCAGTTTAGACCCTTGAAGTGTCTCCCTCTGACACAGGGTCTAGCGCAGACCACACTGGAGCCGGAACCTGCCGTGCAGCCAAGGATGACCTTGAACGTCTGATCCTCCTGCCTCTACCTCCCAAGGGCTAGTGTGCACTGCCAGGCAGGGATTACAGGTGTGCACTGCCATGCAGGGATTACAGGTGTGTACCACCATGCAGGGATTACAGGTGTGTACCGCCATGCAGGGGTTACAGGTGTGCATCGCCATGCAGGGATTACAGGTGTGCGCCGCCATGCAGAGATTACAGGTGTGTGCTGCCATGCAGAGATTACAGGTGTGTACCACCATGCAGGGATTACAGGTGTGCACTGCCATGCAGGGATTACATGTGTGCACCACTACAAAGGGATTAAGGTGTATACTGACATGCTGGGATTATGGGTGTGCACTGCCATGCTGGGATTATGGATGCATACCACCATGTTGGAATTTTAGCAGTGCTGGTAACAAAACCCAGGACTTTCTGGATGCTGGACCAGCCCTCTACCTCCTGAGCTACAGCCCCAGCCTACAGTTTCTTTTGTCTCTGGCATTTAGCTATCCTCAAACCATGTCCTGTGCCAGCTCTGATCATCCAAGTCCAAGTGCTAGAAACCACAGGAGTTGCAGATGTTGGAGTTTATCACCTGCAATCACAAATGCAAATGCACTCTGAGGTTTATAATAATGTGGTGAATATCACGCTTGCTTCCTACAGTGGCTCACAGAGGAGGCAAGGGAGTGTGCAGTGTAATTTAGTGATGGACTAGTGTACAACCTGCACCCAAGCTGTGGTCCCTCCCTGCAACGCTGGAGACTGGAAGGCTACAGCCCCTAGGCTGTGGCTCTTTATAGATAAACCTTTACTAGGGCATGCAAGCTCTCTCTCTCTCATACACACGCACACATGCATGCACATGTACACACGTCATTTCTGCCTGGGTCTGCAGAGGTGAGCTGGCTACTGGGATGGACACCTCATGATCCAAGCAGCTTCTCACATTTATGACTTGTCCCTTTACAGAAAAATTTACAAGGCCAGCTCCTGTCCTAAACAGCAGCTAATGTGAATGGCTCCCTTCAGCGAGCCTCTGGTTCGCCCAGGTAAAGGAGGGATTCGCCTTACTTGTGGCCCAAGGCCAGGCGGGGTGGACAGCTGTGGCGGCCATACTCAGAGTCCCCTCCTCCCTGTTCCAAGAGAGAGGACACTGCTCTGCTTTAGCCCACTTTCCTTCCCCCATGCCTACCGACTCACACAACATGTTCACTAGCCCTTGCTGCAGAGCCAGGCCATGCCGCAGGTGCTGTGTGTGACAAGAGCTAATGGGACAAGAGCCAGGCTCGGCTGTGGCTGGGTAACTAGAGTGATTATGGGGCGGCCTGAAGCCCTGGTTCCATCTCCAGTCCTGAATGAACAGGCTGTGGCCATGAATGTCTGTAACCCCAGTGCATGGGACCTGGGGAGGCAGGAGGATTCAAAGTCAACCCTGGTCACATAGTGAGGTTGAGGGTAGCCTGGGCTGCAAGAGACCCTGCCTCAAAACAAAACAAACAAAAGCCCAAACAGGCCTCCTACCTGGTACTTTCCCCACCGCCTTTCTTGCTCCTTGACTCTCTCCTTTGGAGCATCGTCCCCCACTTACACCCCTCATGCTCGGTTTCTGATCGTCTTTGTGAGATCCCCACATGACCTCACCTCCCAGCAAGCCGTGCCGCCTTTCTTGCAATTCCTTGCTCTTGCCCGGCCATTGTCCCCAACTTCTATGTTTTTCTCCCTGCTCTGCCTTCCCAGCTCGACCCTGACAAGCAGGACCTCAGGAAATGTGGGTGTTCTGGAGCCTTAGCCCACGGCCCCTCTAACTGCGCCTCCCAAGGGCTCCTGTCTACTCCAAATCTCTCTTGGGCACATGCTGCCACACCAGACTTCCCTGGGGAGGTAAGTTCTCCAGTTTTCTCTCTCTGTTTATCTGCTGGACAGATTGGCCTGGGCGGTTTCCCAGAGCCTGAGTTTCATGTGACCACTACAAACTCCCTTCCTGCTTCCCTTCCTCAACCCGCCCCACTGTCTTTTTAACAAACTGCCACTGTCACCTACCATTAAGCTCAACCCAGAGACTTAAATCCTTTTTAAATCCTTACTCAGCATCTTGGCCCTGCCACCAAGTACACTCCCTGAACCTCTAACCTGCCTCTCAAACATGGCCCCCTCCCCCCTCCCCCCAGTATTACATCTCCAGTGTAGTCATCATCCCCTGTGGCCAAGCAAGAGCAAAAGCACCACAGTGGTCTCCCATCGCTCTTGCCATCTCTCAGGGCATTCTCCACGTGTCTCTGAGGGATGGCTCCCAAACAGCAATAAGAGGCCACCAGATCCCCTACACTTTAGTAACAGTACACTGTGCTGAGGTCTGTAGGCCCGACTATGACCTGGCCCCTGTGCAACCCTCCTGTCTTATTCCCAGGCACCATCCCCAGCTCTCCACACTCCAGCAGAACTGAGGTCTCTGAATTCTTCAGATAGGCTATGGTTCTCCCACTCCTGCTGCCTCCAGACCAGGCTTAGCCCTTCTGGTTCCACTGCTGCCTCCTTGCTTCTCTGCCTGACTCCATGTCTGGCAGCCCCCTCTTGATTCTGCTTCCTCCGCTGCCCCTGGAGAACTGGTCGGGGAATGAGGGTCATCCCCTCCAGGGATGACTGGAGCATGCTGCGGACGTCACAAACACTCGTCAGACGGATGAGTGGATGAGGTGTGAAGGAGTGTGGCAGCACCAGCTAAGAACATGCCCGAGCCTCTTCCTACTGCTGGGAGCTTCATTGTTTCCTCGGCTTGCTGCACGTCTATCTGCCTCTACTGACGAGGATGGGAGAGGATTTCTTTTTATGGGCACTCTTTATTTTTGAGACAGGGTCTCATGTAGCCCAGGCTGGCCTCGAACTTGCTATGTGGTTGAGGATGGCTTTGAACTTCTGATCTTCCTGCTCCATCTCCCAGGTGCCAGGATCCTAGGTAGGTGACACCATGCTGGTTTATGCACGGTGGAGGATCAGACCCAGGGCCTCACACATGCTAGGCAAGCACTCTGCCCACTGAGCTGCAGCCATATCCCTTTGAAGTGGAAGGACACCTCCAAGTCTCACTGTTGTGACTCATGGCTAAAGCCGCTGTCCAAAGCGGGGAGGTCGCTGAGGTTTGCTGCTCTCGTGGCTCCTGCACATTTGAACCCAATGGTGGGAAGCTTTGCTCTGCCATCTGTGACTTGCTCTCTCCCGGACTCTCCTGATCTTTGGGTTCTCATCCTCTTTGATCTATGTCTACCTTTCACACAGCCTTCAAACACAGATGGCTACCAGATCCTGTCCCCAGACTGCTTCTCAAACTACCCCACACATGGCCCTGGTAGATTTACTAACTCCTGACTGTTACAGCTGCCCCCACAAGGCAAAGGCATGGGACCCTTTGTCTTTAATCCTGGCATCCCTTCTGACCTGAAGATTTTAGGGTCTGCATCTCTCCACATGGATACAGGGCTCAGGGCCACCTTACTCAATCACTGTGCCTGGCATCTGAGAGTGCACCCTCTTTCCACAACTCTCCTGGTCTCCTGGGAACTCCCCTTTGAAACTCAATTCTCTCTGCTGCCCCCCCAAGTGTTCCCCAAACCCTGCCCAGCCCTCACCACATCCATGTGCCTGCCCTCCACACCCCTCTTGTACTGTGTGGACCCCAGGACTCACAGCAACTGCACACTGGTCACCCGAGGCCTCTCGTAGAATGACAGCTCACCTCCTGCCTTGAGGTTCTGACCCTCACCTCTATCCCCATGTGTGACTCTCCAGCTGTGGCAGGTGGTCAGGCTGGCCATTCGTTCTCAGGCCTGTGGAGCTTCTGAATCTTTGCAGAGTGCAACCTCAGGTAGAACTAATGTTTCTGTTTAGTAAACCAGTGGCCATCAGTGCTGATCATGGTGGGATGATGTCATTCAATTCCCTGACAGACCCATTTCCTAATCTACCAACATCCTTGGGATCCTGGGATCCAGTGGAGAACCAGGAGAGACTAGCCTGGGAATAAGACAGGAGGGGTACATGGGGCCCCTCCCCTCCCTATTTCTTTCTTCCCTCTTTTCTTCCTCTTTCCTTTTACCCCTTCCTCCCTTCTTCTTTCCCTACCCTCCTCCTTGCCTTCTTTTCAGGGCTGGGGGCCCTGTTGCAAGTCTCCTGATGAACTACATCCCCCGCCTCTGTTTTGCCAGACTGGGTCTTGCTAGTAGTCCAGGCTGTCCCACTCCTGCTGCCTTAGTCTTCTGAATGCTGGGATCACAGGTGTGCACCACGGCTCCCAACCCAGTCCTCCTTCTTGAACCCCAGACTTGCCCTCCAGCTCTGAGCCCCAGGTGCACAGTCTCCTTGTCTGGACTTGGCCTATATAGAACCATGTATTTTGACAGCATCCTTTTTCTTCCCTAGGGATCTCTAGGCCAGCTTCCCTGTTCCTCCTTGTCCTTCCAAGGCCCTGGGTACCCCGATAACTAAGTACTCAGTGTGCTTGGCTATTACCACTCAGTGATCTGACTTCCCAGCCTTCCTGACACAGCATGAGACCCATCTAGCTGGTTCCCCTGTCTCTGGGCTCAGTGCAGCGCTGCCTGCAGAGGCCTGGCCAGAGTTTGTTTAGCAAATATGTCTGTGTGTGTGTGTGTGTGTGTGTCTCCCCTCACTTGACCGTGGGCACTGAGGCAGCAGGGCCATGCCTGACATTAGTTGGGGTGGTGACTGGTAAACTTCTGGTGAAGAAGCGTATACATGCGCGCGGCATCCATCCCATCTCGCCCTCCCTGTGTGCCCCCCGGCTGGACTGCCACTGCTCCTGCTCCTTCAGCTCCATCTGAGAAGACGCATTCCAGTGAGTATCCGCATGGCCTTGGCTGTACTCGGCGGGCGTCGTCTTTTTCCTCCGTTCCTCGGGCAGGAAAAGAAGCCACCAATATATCCTAAACCAATATATCCCAGAAGGTGCTTGGGAATGAAAGCCGGATCTTGCATTTTCTTGAAATCCCGAAAGCTCTCGACGCTGTGGCAACAACCCTCCCCACTTACCGCCTGCGAGGCCATCATCTCATTAATGCTCTGTTCATACTGCTCTGCCAGAATGGCCAGTTTTCTCGTCTGCTCGTCTTTCAGTGTCTTTAGGATTGTTTTGTGCTCATTCTTTGGAGTGACTTCCAACTGGTGGTTCTTGAGTGCTTTGTACTGCTTGGTCTGTACCTTGCAAGTGTCCTGAAACTGCTTCTTAATCTGCATTTCCATGGCCTGCCCGGGAACACGCGACAGAGAGAAAGAGAAACAGGTCAGTCCACATGCTTGGACACATGACACATGACACATGACACAGACCACACATGGTCACATGACAGCCATCAGTCCAGAGACCGACAGGACAACGCATGATGTGAGGGAACACTACCAGCCCTCTGGTTTTTTCTTTCTTTCTTTCTTTCTTTCTTTCTTTCTTTCTTTCTTTCTTTCTTCCTTCCTTCCTTCCTTCCTTCCTTCCTTCCTTTCTTTCTTTCTTTCTTTCTTTCTTTCTAACAGGACATGGAGGAAGTAATTCTGATTTGAAGAATGGCTTTAGGGAAACAGATTATAACGGGGAACTAGATTCACAGTAGACTGTGGAGTATGATGAGACTTGTTAGCGGGTTGGCAGTTATTTTCCCAGTCTCTTCCTGGTCTGCAGCGCCTCCTATTGTTTGCTGTGTTTTCCTTCCTCGAGGTGAGCACGTACACCTCCATGTGTGCACAATATCCCTTCATTTCCAGGTGAGAAAGGGGACGAGGCTCTACAGTCAGCTCCCACTGCCCTGGCTCAGAATGTCTTCTGTACACCCGAACAGCGCCTCATACCCTAACCCATCCCTACGTGACTTCAGCAGAAGCTGAAGGAGAGGAGTGGCCCTGGAGCTCTGACTCCATTAGAGTGTGCTTTCAGGGGTGGATGCCAAATGTGTACTCTGGGGAGCGGGAAGAGGAGCATGCGCAGGCCACTCTGCAGTCACAGGTCACTTGTACAATCAGGACTTCTGGTGGCAGGGGTCGTGGGTGTGGCTAGGGTTTGCCTCAAAGAGACATGTGCCAATGTGACCAAGGGCAGCTTGCATCCTGGCTTTGTAGCCTTTATTTGTGCAGCAACCTTGTTACCATTACAGCTTCCTCAGCAACTAGGGCTAGGACCATGGACAGTTCTCTATCCACTTTTCCTAGGAGCACCTGTGTAACTAGCTGTCCATGGAGGTCACAGGACAACCGTGGGTAGCTACCTCAGATGCCATCCATATTCTTTTTATCTATCTATCTATCTATCTATCTATCTATCTATCTATCTATCTATCTATCTATCATCTATCTATCTATCTTTGAGACAGTGTCTGACAAAAAGCCTGGGACTGCTAAGCAGGCTAGGTGAGTGGCCAACCAGCACCAGGAAGCTTCCCAGAAAGACTGGGGTCACACACATTGTTTTTTGTTGATTTTTTTTCTCCTCTTCCTTTTTTTGGTGTCACAGGGTCTTACTATATAGCTCTGACCAGCCCGGAACTCACTATGTAGCTCAGGCTGGTCTTAAGTGCCCCTGTCTACCTCTCTGTGTGCACTACTATGCCCAGCCCAACCTTTTATTCTTTTAAAAAAATATTTATTTATTATGTATACAATATTCTGTCTGTGTGCATGCCTGCAGGCCAAAAGAAGGCACCAGACCCCATTACAGATGGTTGTGAGCCACCATGTGGTTGCTGGGAATTGAACTCAGGACCTTTGGAAGAGCAGGCAATGCTCTTAACCTCTGAGCCATCGCTTCAGCCCCCAACCTTTTATTCTTTAAAAACATAGGTTCATGGGCAGTGCTTCTTCTCAACCTTCCTAACGCTGCCATTCTTTAACACGGTTCCTCATGGTGTGGTGACCCCAACCATAAAATTATTTTTGCTACTGTTATGAATTGTACAGTAAATATCCATGCTTTCTGATGGTCTTAGGCGACCCCTGGGAAAGGGACATTTGACCTTCATGGGGGTCACGATCCACAGGTTGAGAACCACTGTTCTAGGGGACAGAACTCAGGTCTTTGTACTTGCAAAGCAAACCCTTCATTGACAGGACCATTTTCTGAGCTGTCCTTGTTCACTTTACAGTTTTTAGTTTTATTTTATATGTTATGAGTATTTTATCTGAATGTGTCTGTGTACCACATGGGTATCTAGTGGCCTTGGAGGCGAGAAGAGGTCTTGATTCCCTGGAACTAGAGTTGCAGATGGTTGTGAGCTGCTGTGTGGGCACTGGGAATCAAACTCAGGTCCTCTGGAAGAGCAGCCAGTGCTCTTAACCACTGAGCCATCTCTCCAGCCTCTTCTCACTGCCTTTCAAAGTTGGTGGGTGACCAATGGCTCAGGTAAGCGATATCCTGAACTACGGGGAGGACCAAGACCCCAAATGGCACTCTGCTGGGACCCTTGAGGATTCGCTAGGAAGCTGGAGCAGCACACTCCTACTGGCTTTTGCCTCCCCCCCCCTTCATTGGCTGAGAGGTGTCTTTAGACTTAGGGCTGCATGGCCCAAGGCTGCATCCTTGTGGAGTCGAGCAGTCAGAAGTTTCGTGGACAGGCTGCAAGTAGAGTAGCCCAGTGTTCTGGAGGCCAGCACTCCTAGGAGCAAGGACCCTGCAGCTTTAGAGGGTTCCAAAGCAGCTTCCCAGCTTGCAGAAGGAGCCCTGGACACCACACCTAGAGATTCTGATTCTGGGGTGTGACACAGACGGGCCCACCTGTGTGAGGATGCACGGTGGGTTCGGGGTATGCTGATGTCCTCTTACCTTTAAGTTTTTCGGCTGTTGCCGAAGCTCCATGACATGCTTCCGGTGCAGCTCCCGCTCCCGCCTCTTATTGTACTCCAGCTGGTTCTCCAGCTCCGTCTGGTGCTGTAGCCGGATCAGATCCATGCGGAGCTTCTGCAGCGTGTGCAGCTGTCTGTACTCCAGCTCTCGGGTGGACTCGTCGTGCCGGATCAGCATGGCGTGCTCCATTTCCTTCTGCGTCCGCTTCTTATTTAGTTCCTGCATTCCAGGAGCAGAAGACGAACGGAGAGAGATGAGTGGGGGGGACAGGGAGGGACACACACATGGTGAGGGGTGGCTCCTAATTAAGTCCATGAGTGTTTGCAGCACGACTTAATGAGATCAGAGGGGCAGTCCCTAGAGCTCCGCGTCCTGCGGTGAGGCCAGCTTCAGAAAGCACTGTCTGCGAAATGGGACTAATTCCCCTGGTTGCTCCTGTCTCGCAGAGGTGTGGGTCTTCGATTGTGCGAGGCTTTGGTGTGGTCAAGCTAGGGGTTCCCATGCTGGCTACTCATTGGAATCATAAGGAAACACACCCTCAAATTCTGACAATTGTTTGGGACTACCCCTCTACCCCCCATTTCATTTCCTTTATAAAGCTTTCTCCAGGTGACTCTTGGTATGCGACCAGTGTCAAATCTCCAGGGAACTCTGCTGTGCGGACAGCGTTGAGAACTAAACCGGGAATGTCTGCATTGCCCTCAACTTCTGGGGAAATACCCTATTTTCGCACATAACAGAAGTAGGCCAAATTATCTATTTTTTAAAAGCGGCATTTAGACATGCTGGGAGGAACCGGAGGACACCCCTTCCCTCTCGTCCTTCCCACAGCAGGCAGGCCGACCATTTCCAGAGCTAACACTTGGGGTTTTCAGTTCTAGGCCTTCCTGTCTGCCCTCTTATCCTCCCTCCCTTCTCCCGAGGCATTGGAGACTGAACCCAGAACCTTGCACACGGTAGGTAAATGCTCTTTCACTGAGCCACATCCTCAGACCGCTCCTTAGTTCTATCCACGCCCATCTGATTCCCTTCTCCTCCCTTCCTGGGAGAGTGGGGAAGGACCCACTAGGGGAAAAAAAGGTCAAGTAAAAAGTTTCTACCCACTAACTCGAGACGATTTTCATCTCTTACTCCAAACTGAACTTCAGGACCCGTGTTTTGACCCCAGATCCTTGCACATGCTAGGCTACCACTGAGCTACATCCCCAGCCCTTTGAGGCTAGTTCCTCAGTGCACTAGTCAAGCCCTGGATTTATGCCAGTGTTCACTACTAAGTGGTGGCTGCTGCCCTCGACTTGGAGCCACACTAATGGTGACTCAGGTGCCGGTCTCACAGCTGACTGCATCCAAGGTGGATGGAAGGCCTGATTCAGGCCAGTCTATTTTCTCTCCTAGGAATGTGGGGCTGTGACTCAGGGCCAGTTGTCTCTGTGGTGGCTGCAGTGTTGGCACACATGCAACTATGGGATGCCATCTGCTGCGATGCTTAGATAAAGCTAGACTTCAGAAGCGAGGGAAGAGGGCGACGGGGAGGGGGAAGGGAAGGAGAGAGAGAAGGACAGGGGGAGAGAGGGAGAGAGAATGGACACAGCGAGTGTTTAGTGCCCAAGTGCTGGCTGCATTTCAGCCCATCTCTATGTCCAGCTGTAGTAACTGCTACTGAAGTCTGCTTGTTCATTTCATTTCTTTTTTCTTTTTTAATTTGTGAGACAGAGTTTCACTAGGTAGCCTAGGCTGGCCTAGAGCTTGCCACTTAGACCAGACCGGCCTCAAACTCCCAGAGATCTGCCTGCTTCTGCTGCCTGAGTGCTGGGATTAAAGGCGTGGGTGGCTGTGGCAGCTGCTATTGCGTCTGACTAGCACTTTTCCTGGTATTTCGACAGCTCTCCTGGTCTGAACTGAAGCCAACCCAAATAAATTCCAGGTAACAGGCAAGCAGGAGATTGTTAACCAGCTCTGGGAATCAGGCGCTGTACAGATTTCAAAGGGACAGTCAGGGCTGGGAAGAGGCGTTCCAGAAAGAATGCTTTATGAAGTTTTGGGGAAGAAAGCTTGCCGCTCAGGACTTGGCAGGGGAATAGCTGGGTGCCCAGCCTTTCTCAGGGCCAGGGAGGGTGAGATCTGAGGCATTTGTGTTCCCAGGGTGCCAGAAGCAGGTGTGGATAGGCTCTTGCAAGCACCCTGCACACACCGGTCCTCCCCCCGTGGCCCCGAGCACAGAGCATCACCGCAGAGCGCTCAGTGACTCAGCCAGCAAGCATCATTATACACGTGCTATGTGTCAGATACTGACATCCCACAACCTGTGGAACTGGAACAAGGGCATCCCTGGGGCTCGGTGTTTAATGCAGGAGTAGATACAGTGTAAACATGGTTTAAATGTTTCAATTCATGAAAGCAAACCCTGCCAGCTTCCACACTTTTCTTTCTACTGTTTTGTTTCTGCCTCTTTACAAGAACCACCAAACTCTCCTTTTGAAAAGAATTATTTTTATGTCTAAGAGTGCTCTGCCTACATTGTATGTAAAATGCACCACATGAGTGATGTAAGAGGCCAGAAGGAACTGGAGTTACAGATGGTTTGAGCCAACATGTGGGTGCTGGGAATTGAACCCGGGTTCTCTGGTAGAGCAGTGTGTGCTCTTAACCACTGAGCGACACCTCCAGCCCTGACTAAGTGTCTTCTTTCAAAGACTAGTGAGAGGTACTCGGGTGGTACCACAGGAAAGTGGCTGCTCCCACATGTGAGACTGTCAGGTCAAGGAAAGCTCCATAAGAGGGTGAAGGTCCCTGTCCCTCAGTTACTTGAGTCACAGCGCTGAGCTTACAATTCCACATTAACTCCAGAAGCCCAAGTTAAGCTCAAGTTGCTCACAGACTGGAAATAAAAGACACCAAGCAAGTACTTTCAGTGGTTTCACTTCTTGAGTAAAATGGCTCTGGGTTCTAAGGGACACCTGCACGGGACGCTGCGGGTGCCGAGGGACACTTGCACGTGGCGCTCTGGGTACTGAAAAACACCTGCACGGGGCACTTTGGGTACTGAAGGACACCTGCACGGGTCACTGCGGGTGCCGAGCAACACCTGCATGGGGTGCTCTAGGTTGAGTTATTTACACTGAGCTACACAGTGGCTGCTGACCAGTGCTAACAGTTTGGGAGTCATCCGAGCAAAGCTCAGGTGAGAGTTAGCCTTGGTCCTTTTGGTGATTCGCTGTCTGTGGCTTTGGCAAGCTTCCTACACAGGTTGCACACATTGGTTTCTTCAGGCATAAACTCAGGGTCTTCCCACCCAGCACAAATAAGCCTTGTGAAGATGATATGACAGACCCTAAAAAATGTTTCAGAATGTAACCATGTCTCATTGTTTTTCTATACTTGAAATGAATAACTGGGCAGGCAGAGGCAGGCGGGTCTCTGTGAGTTCGAGGCCAGCCTGGTCTACAAAAGCTAGTTCCAGGACAGGCTCCAAAGCCACAGAGAAACCCTGTCTCGAAAAAAAAAAAAAAAAAAAAAAAGAAAGAAAGAAAAAAAGAAAAAAGAAAGAAAAAAGAAATTAATAACTGGCATAGAGTAGTTTAGATTTGGTTTTACAAATTATTTAGAAAATTTAACTATGATACCAAAAGCAATTTCTAGGCTGCTCCCTTTATCATAAATCCCATATCTGAGCTATTGAGGTGTAAGATGGTTTAAGCCTCAGGAAGCCCTTTTGTGTCTGTCTTGTTCCATATCGGTCTTACCCTGAGTCCAGGGCATGCCTACTTGACAGCATGCAATGAGCTTTCAGTTTTTTCCTTTTTTGTGAGAGTCTTACTATGGTGCCCAGGCTGGTTTCCAACTCCTCCACCCAGTGATCCTCCTGCCTCAGCCTTCCAGGTAGTGAGGACTTCAGGTATGCAACACCATACCACTTCTCAATTTAATCCCAGCACGTGGGAGGCAGAGGCAAGCAGATCTCTGTGAGTTCAAGGCCAGCTTGGTCTACAAAGTGAGTTTCAGGATAGGCTTAAAAAGCTGCACAGAGAGATCATTTAAAAAAAAAACCCAAAAAATCATCTCATACAGCTCACCCGACTCTAAGTGCACTTCTGTAAGGTGAAAACCTTGCAAAGATTTTTGTTTATTTATTTATTTTTGGCAGTATAGATGGTCTGGAACTCTCTATGTAGACCAGGCTGGGCTCAAATTCAGAGTTCTGCCTGCTTCTGCCTTATGAATGTTGGGACAAAGGCGTGCGCCACCACCCTAAGGGCTCCTTATAAAGACTTTCCTATGTAACCGTGAGGCTCTAGGGAGCCAAAGGTCTAAGATCACAGACAAGTTGAATAAAGGCTAGAATTCTGGTTTCCTGGTTTGCAACATTTTCTGTGAGAAAATATCCCAAGGAAGTGAATTTTCCTATATTCTACTTTTCCAGTCTGGGTTAGAATGCTCTAGACACTAATGGCATACTGTATGTTAGAGTCATGCATGTCTGTGGCATGTATAAAATCAATGAGCTGATGGCATTGGTGACCCTGCCTGCATGTGCCCACACGGTTCACATGCCCTGGGGGAGGGGGAGCCAGAGACACTGGCTTTCTTTTGCCAGGCAGGGAGATAATCCCCAGCCCTTTTCAGGTAGTGTTTTGAGACAGGGACTTGTAAGTTGTCCAGGCTGGCCTTCCAATTCAGGATTCTCCTGCCCCGGCCTTTCGGAAGCTGAAATTACTGGTGTGGCCACTACAGCGGCTTGGAATTCATGTTTCACAATGGTGCTGCTGCTGCTGCTGGAGTGCACATTCAGCATCTCTTAGTCCTGGGGCTAGGAAGGCTCCACCAGACACTGGCGCTCCTGCTCCTTTACAGAGGCTTCATGAGCTAAGAGTCCCCAGAGTCGGTTCAGGCAGGCGTGAGGAAGTTAGGCTTGCTGGGGGAGCCACAGACTCCTAAGAGGGTGACTCGGTGGTATTTGTCTATCTGTCCGTCCGTCTGTTTTTAAGTTTTATTACTTTATGAGTGTACATGTGTGGGCGCATGTGGTTCCCAAGGATCAGAGTAAGGTCAGCAGACTTTGCAGCAAGCGCCTTAGAGTGGGTGGTTTTGCGTGTCTGCTCGGCACAAGCTAGAGTCACCAGAGGAAAGAGCCTCAGCTGAGAAAACGCCCCCTTGAGATCCACCTGTAAGGCATTTTCTCATTTAGTGATCAAAGGGAGAGGACCCAGCCCACGGTGGGT